TAGAATATAAAGTCAGACCTCAGTACATGAAACTTTTATCCCAAAGAACTACAGCGCTTCGTCACTTGGAGACTAAGACACTTCCCTTATCACCATCTAATCCGCACTTAATAACCCTTTGATTGTAACTACTTTTCTGGCCCTCTTTCTAAAGGTGCTTAATTTACAGGGGAAAGACTCTAGCACGCCTGGAGGTAATTGGTTCCAGCTTCTTATGGTCCTATTTACAAAGGAATATTTGCCTACATCCGTTCTTTGTTTCCTAGTCCTAATTTTCCGAGTATGATCGTCCCTGCCCAGGTAGCATGGCTTTAATAATCTATCCTCTATCATTTTCCAAGCCCGGTGGCCATACCAGAGAAAAGGATGGGAGAAAAACATTAAAGTGGTTCTTAGGGGGACGATTTCGGAGAATCTGTATGACTCTGACAGATCGATTTTACCAGTGTTTTTCGACTTTGAAATATAGATCGATTATTGAACTCAATTGCATTCAGTCTCTGCTCTGTGGTTCCCTCTATCGAAGACGAATGAAGTAATATAGTTACGGCTACGACAGCTGTGTAGGACACATTGCAAGCTTTGCAACGGTATGTGATGTCAGCAAGCTGGTATGAACGGACTTCTGTAGCACATATCTGCTGTCAGTCAGCCGCGATTATGGCTTCGAGTAGCAGACGTTTTTTGTCTCCCAAGCAGAAAATCCTCCCACAGCACAGTATAGAATTCCGATTTAAATGCTCCCACGCTGAAGGGACCCTACTATTATACGTAGTCGCCTTAAAGTTGGAATTGCAATACGCATTGCTGGTGCATTCGTTCATGTTGTTAGTCAGTTTTCCTTAGCTCGTTGTCATTGTTCTACTGTAACTCTGCCAAGTTTCAGTTTGACCGCCATTCCGCTAAACGTTCTCTACTATAGTCGGCGCAGAAGTTTTTGGCCGGTGTAGAAGCTGGCGGACGGGCCTACTCTGTGTACCTGAGGTGGCACGGTCAGCGTATTTCTTTTGTTTGGGCTCCTCGGTGCAGTCAGCAAAAGAGACTCGCTCCTAGCTTTCCGCTTGAAAATTCCACCGGCCAAAAACTACTGCGCCGACTATACAAGCAGGTTCGTCTGGATTTTACCACGCAGCGGTGTCCCAGCGTTAAATTGAGGGAGTCATATGGGGTACGGTAATTATAGGGAGGGGACGATAATGTACTATTGGGTTATTTACTATGACTCTGCCATCTGTAGACAAATATGTAAAATATCACAAACTCCGTGGAGAGTCCTTTTTGAGAAGTATGTACAGTAGCCGTGATACCTCAATCAGAGTAGTGACTAGCTACGGGCTGGACGACCGGGGTTCGATCCTCGACAGGGGCAGAGGATTTTTTTCCCCTCTAGCCTCTGCTTCCAGACCGGCTCTGGGGGGCCCCACCCAGCCTCCTCTACAGTGGGTACCGGGGTCCTTTCCCGGGGGTAAAGCCGGCCGGGGCTTGATTCTGACCACTCACCCCCATCTAGTGCCGAGGTCAAGGAAGGGAGGAGCTATACCTCCACTCACCCCAAGCGCCTACATTGCGTTTAGTGGGACAAACTTAACAATGGTCTACAGCAGTGGTATTCAACCTGGGGTACGCGAAGACATCCTAGGGGGTACGTGAAATTAAAAAAATATATATATTATTTTATGATAAACACTGAATAGTCAGTAATGTAATTTGTTTAATTTATTTTAGATGTAGATTATATACTATGTATAACTTGAATCATACACCAACAACTTTGGGGGTACAAAGTTGAAGAGAAATTATATCTGGGGGTACGCGAACAAAAAAGGTTGAATACCACTGCTCTACAGAAAAATATTCGAGGTGTAATCAGACAAGCGAAAGAAAAGTGAACCAAGGAAAAATATGCCGAATATATTCCAGAAATTAGTGATGACTCTGGACCACATATCACTGAAACCGTTAGATGATGACGGGATTAGCGGTTGACGAAAGTGTACAATTTCATTTATGATGCAGGAAACATTCATTATGAATGGCTTAAAATACACATTTATACCTCCCCCCAAAAAATCCAGTTCAAAAAAAATGTGAGGATTATAGAACAATTACCCTCAAAATTACTGTTGAAGATCATTCATAGATGAATATACAGACTATGCGAAGAGAAGATTACTCGCACCCAGCTTGGATTTCGAAATGCTCTGGAAACAAGGGAGGCAAGTATTAATTAAGCGCTGCAGGGATGCCAACTGTGATGTATATGCGTGTTTCGTTGACTACCAAAAGGCCTTCGATAAAATTCGGCGAAAAGTGCCTGTTCAGAAGACATAAGAATAAGGCGTGGTGTTAGGCAGGGATGCAATCTATCTCCAATTCTATTCAATCTCTTTTCGGAACATATATTCGAAGAAGCATTGGAAAATGTAAACGCTGGAGTGCTTGTGAATGGAGAACGATTAAATAACATTCGGTACGCAGACGATACTGTAGTGTTCACCGACTCTCTGGAAGGTCTTGAAGAATTAATGGATCGTATTGTGAAGGCCAGTACCAACCACGGCTTAGATCTTAACATCAAAAAAACAAAGCTCATGGTCATCAGTTAAAATGCTGTATTACCTGGTAAGCTGGTAGTTAATAATAAACAAATAGAAAGTATAGAAATATACATACTTGGGCAGCACAATTAATGACCAGTGGGATCACTCCTTGGAAATAAAGTGCCGTATCGAAAAAGCCAGAGCCACTTTCATCAAAATGGGATCAATGTTCAGGTGTAGAGACTTAAACTTAACCAACAAGTTACGACTACTCAGATGTTATATTCTCTCCGTGCTTTTATACGGCGCTGAATCGTGGACGTTGACGGAAGCTTCTTCTAAAAAGTTGGAGGCCTTCTAAATGTGGTTGTACCGACGTATTCCCTGGATTGACCGTGTAACCAACAAAAAAGTTCTCGAGAAACTCCGCAAAGACGTTAAAGAGGTTAACACGATAAAAAAGAGAAAGTTGGAATATTTCGGTCATATCATGAGAAATAGTTATAGATACGGGCTGCTTCAGCTGATAATCCAGGGAAAAGTATTCGGAAATAGAGGACCTCCTGGCTACATAACCTAAAAACTTGGCTCTAGATGTCAACTGGAGGGCTGTTTCAAGTAGCAGTCAGTAAATTTCAAATTACTATGCTGATCGTCAACATCCGGAGCGGATAGGCACATTAAGAAGAAGAATACCAATTTTAGCATTATATTTCCATCTGTGCTTAGGTATGCTGAGTAGTCTTTTTTCCTTCATGCGTAACAACCAAAATTATGTATGCATTTCTAATCTCTCCCACACGTGCTACAAACCCTGGTCATATCTTCCTGCTTGATTTGATGCCAATATTATTTAGTGAAGAATACAGACTGTGGAGCTCTTCATCATGTAATTTTCTTGTCTCCCAGCACTTCATTCCCTGAGGTCAAAATATTTTCCTAAGCACCCTGACTTCAAACTCTCTTGATCATGAGAAACCAGGTTTCACACGTATACAAAAAATTGGTTAAGTTATAGTTTTGTATATTTTAATCTTTATGTTTTGAGATACCGTATGGAAAGACAAGAATGGGAAATACACCAGACAAATGTTTACATACACAGATTTTACTGTATGTATATTTAAACTCATTTAATTATTCTGACTGGTTCCACTAGTATACCAAATTCAAAGGCTTTCTTTATTTCTGATGTACAGTTCCATCACACTCACATAACCACTCCCCCCTCCCAAATTGGACAAATAGAGAACAGCTGATCAGAATGGATATATTACATTGATCATCATAGATGTGTTGTTAGATCCATCTTGTAGCATGTATTTACTTTAAAATAAACTCTCTATACCACTAAATACAAGAAACAAATATTAAGAGAAGAGGTTTCAGGCACCTAAAAAAATGTCCTGTGACTTATTACAGAGTTTCAATAACCATAGAAAAAGACATATGAATATAAATATGTATCATACAATAAAATCTTCTAGGCCCATCTACCGTGTCAGACGATTAAAACTTGCAGACGGTAACTGATGGCCCTAGAAGATTTTGTTAATGACAGCTGAAATGAAAGCTTCACATTATGTATCATATAATACACACATGTTTCAGTCTGTAGCAGACAGATCTATGTAAGTCAAAGCCGCACAATATAACATTCATTTCTAATGGTTGAAAGGTGAAAGACTAACATTTTGTAGAACCATCTTCATACTCACCCTCGGGGTACTAAAGTGGTCGGAGAACAAACCAAACCAAAAAGCTAACTATCAGCAGAGTCCTGTGCAAGAGCGAGACATTGTCCCTTGTTAGGTTAAACCATTCCTGTTTACAAAATGCATTGCTAGAAATTGTAAACAGTGCCTTAAAACTAAAATGGGAGGTGTCCTTATGCTAACAGGAATTTTGTCATGGCAGAAAGCCTGGACGGTGGTCTAGCGGTTAGAACGCTGGCCTTGTAATCCTGGGGTCTCAGGTTCGATTCCCGGCGGTGCCTGAATTTATAACTTGTGTTGGGCAAGGCCGTGGTCTAGGCAACACGGAGTTTTCCTCCGTGGCATCCCAACAATTACTCCATTCACACACAGAAGAAGGCAATGGCAAACCACTTCTGGATCATCTGCCAAGAACGTATATGAACAGGTCCCAGTCCAAGAAAAGGATGGAAGGATCCTGTTCATACGGACCTGTCGTCAGACAGAACACTAAATAAATAATAAATAATGGAAACTAGAGGCTATTGTTACTGGTTGGAGGTTATCACATCAGGCAACTTGTCTTTTGTGAAAAGGATTTGGTTGGATGGAATATCTTTGCTTGTTGGCCTCTGCGACTTGTGCGGGGAGGAGGGGGTGGGGCATCACTTCAGTCTGGACTGCGTCTACAAAATAAAATTGGAATGCTTCAGTATAAAACTCATAGTTAGTACTCCTCACCTAGCATTCTACATACTTTGTATGAAGAAAGTCAGAACACAACACACGGCAAGAAATTCATGCATTTGTCCTTTAAATGACTCACTGGAAGAGACTATTTGGGGAACTAGTGCATACATGGAAGGCTAATAAATGATGCTTTATGCTATGGAGTTAATAGTAAAAGTAACACTTTCTTTCTGTAGAGATAAGCTGTGAGCCTGGTTCCATCTTCAAAGATGACTGCAACACATGTCGCTGTTCAGCAGATGGAAGTCGAGCAGCTTGCACCCACAGTATATGTTCACCATCTGTCAGGCAGAAACGTGGTAAGAACATTGGAAATACGTGACTGAGTTGCTATCTGATACTTGCTGGTCTGTACCTCTTTAGAACAAATCTGCTTGCATCTGTTATTCATTTATCATCTGATCTGTATTTCAAATTTTTGTTAATTAATACTTTATATACGAGATCATTATTTTGTTGCTTGTTTTGTATGGTTCTGAAGTATAGTTTCTTAAGTCAGTGAAAATACATAACTTGCAAGTATTTGAATATAGTGCTCAAAACAATGCAGATTAATTCAGTACGGAATAGAGAAAATCATATGCTAAGACATTTGTGTGATTAATACAGCTTACTCCTGTTTTACATTTTCTGAGGTACTCATGTATTACAATGTTTTTTTTTAAAAACTCTAGTTTATCCAGGATTATACTAGTTTTTGGAGTCGGACTAAAATTGAAAGTATTCTTAGGAGGTGAACAAGGACTCTATTTTATGAGAAGGGAGAATCAGTTCAGGTTGCATATCAATAGGTGCCTTAATAGTGGGCCCTACAACTCTGTATTTCTATATATGAGCAAACAATCCTACCATTAGGAATTTCACGGCACATTCTTTTGAGGTTTCCCATCACATGACATTAAATCCACAGAACTCACAGTTTCACTTACTTTTCACTACAAACTGTACCATACCAGACCCCCAGTAGAAAATTTCTAGTAAATTTAACTGTAACATCCATTATCAGACACAACTGCTGTAAATATGGACTTCATAATTTCTGTACTCTTACTAGCTTAGGCAGATGGCATTACTTATTACTTTAACCTCAGACCATTTAGAGCGGCTATCTACAATTATTATTTTAATCTGTTCCTCATGGCAGAAACCAACATGCATTCTCTCTCACTTCCTTTTTGGGCTAGGCCTACAAACCCACCAGTACATCGGATGCAGATCTCTGAATGCATAACACACAATAGAAGTACTCACATAATGTTCTAGCTGTTTGTCCATCGGGCCACTAGATGCATCCCCGAGCTACAACTTTCATTCAGATGCCACCCAGATAATGATCATGCAGTCAGCTCATTATTTGAGATTTTGATTGTTCACATACATTTACCCTAGTTCACCAAGTGATTAATTCAAATTTATTACACGGTTCTAACTTGCAATTAAAATTAAATTCGAGTTTAGATGAAGCTTCAGTGGGCCTCCCTTGATAAGCATTAGGCAACACTCCAGATAAATCAGGGCGTTGTTTATAGGCCTTAGCGATTTCTAACTGTGTCAAAGGGAGATCAACAGCTCTAGTACATATTGCATTCTCAACATTCTTAATGGGAGTGACTTCATTATTTGGAGATCTGCTAAGTAAATCTGTATGAGGTGCATTCTCAACATTCTTATACAGGTTGTTTCTGATTATATACCCTAAATGATACGGGAGCTTCAGGACATGAATATGAAACAAAACAGTCCAGTGAACATAGATCTGGAAATACTTCTGTAACAAATACGAGGGCGTATGTTCCATCATGTAGGAAATGTGAAATGCTTAACTGAGGGAGCATTTACTTGTTAGACATATTATTATAAATTCATGAAATTCCCTTCATGGGTATGAACATAATAACAGTATGAGGCTCAAATATGTTCAGACATCCTTGGTACGTCATGAATATTATTTGATTTATCCTGTATGCATTGCTAATGTTGCCGTCTGGTGTCTTCGGTGTTGACACGAACAACATTCTTCATGTAACCTGAAAAGTAAAAGTCTATGGGATTAAGTCTGGTGACTGTGATGGCCACGATATATGAGCCACGGGACTATGGCCAATCTAGGCCTGGCATTATGCCTACCTGACCACCCATTTACAGCCATGTACACCATCATGCAAGAACCACATTTGTTATCATGTGCACAACATAACATCCTACAACAATTGATATGAATGCCTACGGAGAAATCGAAGGTACCAGAGACCAGTGAGGTTTGTTGGTAAGATACACTGAACAGTGAGATGATATCCTGAAATTCTGGCCCACACATTTAACAGCTTAATGCATCATGAACAAGCTGTGAAACACAATGTGCTTCTCTGTATATCTTTGTAGGGTCATTTCCAATGAACACAGGTTAACTGGACCTTTCAAACTCATACTGACATCCTGAAGCTTCACTGTCATTCACGGCACATGATTTAGAAATATCCTCTCTATGATATTAGAGTAGAATTAATTCATCAAGGCATACTGCTGCAACTGCGTGGCCGCACCACTTCTCTGGGACCAGAAATTATTGTAAATGAGCTGTGATCTGTTACAAGTTGAAACTTTTGACCCCACAAATACTTATTTTTCATAATTAAACAAATTATAGTGGCAGTTTCTCTTTATACCTGCACATATTCGCACTCGGCATGTGTAAATGTTTTGGAAGCATAACTCACTGGACATTCTTCCCCATTGGGCATAACATGAGAAGGCACTGTATCTGCCCCAAATATGGGACATATCATAGGTCAACCGTACCAGAAGGTCAAGTGAGAATGATACTAGTAATAAATTACTGAGCACCTGGATGCATTACCTAAATATATACTTCTAATTAGGTACCCACACCTGTGGCACTGTCCATTTTAGCAAGATAAAGGAATACAAAGGTTTCAGTAACATATAAGCATCTGGAAAAAACTTACTATAAACATTAACCATTTCCAGAAAGGATCTAACAAGGAAATGATCTGGTTGGTCAGGTCGAAACCTCACCTGAAATTTTTCTCATTTACAGAGCCCATCTAGTAATGATTGTACACAAAATTTCAATATCCTTCTTAGTGAGATCTGATGATAATCACCTGGTTTCAGGAAATGCCTGTCCAAACATTGAAATTGTAAGAAGCCCAATGTTGAAGAACATTTTTGTTGGTGACCACGTAGCCATAATCAAGGCCTACCTTTAGATCCCTTTTCACACACAGCCCCAGGGTCCATAAAGAATACTGACCTCTTTAATTAAGGTACTGACCATATAAATGGGCCTTATAGGCACCCTTGTCAGGGCCTCCCTCAATTTGAGTAGTGCAATGTAACCCAGGTTTCATTAGCCCCCAGTACTACCTTGGCCTCTCCTTGGCTTTTAAGTTTTCTTCTGGCATTCCAGACACTTAGCCTGTGCCAGATGATGCTTCTCTACCTTAAGGTTACATATTACTCATCACCTTTGTCCACAGATCTGCTGGAACTGCCACCTCTCTTTGGTGGTATACCAGAGTTATTGGCTCCCAATTCACAGATCTGCTGGAAATTCAACCCCCCCCCCTCCTCCCATAGTGGTATGCCAGACCTACAGGCCCCCCAATTCACAAGTACGCTAGAGAAGCTAGCTACCTTTGATGGTATGCCAGAACTACAGACTCCCTACTAAAAACAGTCAACTTACAAATGGAAAGTGTATATCAGATAAACTCTATACCCTTCTAATGGCTTCTGCCACTACTCTTTGATTCTCATATTCCGTTATCATTCCACAAGAACCAGGGAACAAAAGTCACCACCTACATAGCCCCACGCAAGTACATGGCATTGATATGCCAGGAGCTGCCCGGTGCCTTAAAGTGCAGTTACCACTTGAGCACGATACCTCACACCTTGGCTTTTATGGACCAGAGCCCTGTTTGCCATCTGAGGACATTACTCCTCTGCAATGAGGACACCAAGGGATGGATTTTGTAGGGGTTGCTGAGGTACACCTGTGCCTTAAGCTGTTCTACCAATTTGTTGAGTAAATGTCTAACCAAAGACTCAGTTTCTCATTCTTTGCTTCTAAGAACCTGTCCACAGATCACGTTGTACAAACCCAGCATTAGCTGTGCTCAAGAAACGCACTCATAATCACCATTATAACAGAAAAACTAAAACTTAACAGTCTTTTGGAGTGAAGTGGACTGATTACATGAGAAAACTGGACAACACTGGTAATTACATTTAGCAAGCAGCATGATGATAACGTAAAAAGGGACACATTATTATTAAAACCAAATATGAAACTCTCGTCCAAATAAGGAAACATTTATTTACTGATTCCTTTACTAACATCTTGTAGAATAAATAGGCTATAACAACACTGCCACCATGAAACAGAAATGGAATTATTAGCATTATACAGATGGCACCATTGCAGGTAAATTCCCATGAATCAATGCACTATATTCTTAATGCTAGATGCACCATCATGTCATTACGGTGAGCAAATAATGAAGAATACTGCATGTTGAATTTGGAGCTTGGATAGGTAACATATAAAATATATAAATTTCCTTATACATTCTTTCCAACTCATCTTATGTTATTTTATTACTCAGTGCCCCACATAATCTGTGTTGTTGACAAAGTATCATTAAATAAAGTAGAACCAACCAATCAACCAGAGTTAAAAATACACAAACTTGTTTGCCGCTCAGCTCCCAGAGATGGAGAGCGGTGTGAGCCTGGAACAAGATTCATGGATGAGTGCAATATGTGCATCTGCTCACAGGATGGCATAAAAGCTCATGCATCATGCACCATTAACATATGTAGGAGGATCAAGAGAGGTAGGAAGAGATGTGTACAGACAGATGCATGGATTGCATTTTTATATGCATGTTGAGTTATGTAGAGAACTCAGCAAGCATGCTCTGTTTTGATGTCCCTCACTTCATGCAGAAAACATTTCTACGCCACCAAAATGGCAAAATTGTGATTATTTATAAAATTCTCACTACTAACAATAATGGAATGAGTAGTTTTCAGCCTGTTTTTCTTGATTCCTGGGTTTACTCAGTCCTTAAAATTGTCTGCCAAAAGTGTCTTACTAAAATGGGGCTACTCCACACAACCCATAAGATAGAGGGAATACAGCAATGGGGGGGGGGGGGGGGGGGCAAAGAAAACTAGACATCAATTCCCTTTTGAAACATTTAAATCATTGATACAAACAAATACTTAGTCCAAGACCATGTGCACATTAAACAACATGGCTCTGAGATTAGCCAAAATGAAATTTAGTTATGAAGAATTTCAAAGTCCAAATATGGGTACACTAAATGAAAAGAGACTTGCCAAATTAATAACAGTACATGGACCAGACGTAAGGATGTTCTCCTGGATGTTATCCGTTGTCTGGGATAGAGACTATATCTACAGCTTTTTAGAACCTTTTTCTGTCTCCATATTCAGATTATAAAGAAGGTGGGAGAATAAATACCTACTCAGTCAGGTAAACTGAACAAATTTATAGTCCTAATTGGGTCAAAGTAGAGATCTACTGGAAAAAGCAAAATGGACAGACTCTTAAGAGATTTCTCAACAATTGTAACTAGAAGGACTCAGACAGTGAAATCTGCTATTTAATGACAATGATGATGAATTTAAATATGTGCCAACTGATTACATAATAATTATGGCAATACTGATTCAGTTCTCAGTATGAAATATGTAACATCCATATACTGAACCATTCACAATCTCCCACCATGCACGTCCCTTTTTATCACAGGATTTCAAATATTTTCTAGTTGTCATGTTGAAATGTTCAGTTCTTTCATGAATTACATAAGTAATACTTCTGTTCGTACCAGTTATGAAGCATATTTTGATCATCCTATACTAAACATTCACATTCTTGCTCTCTCTCTCTCTTTGTGAACCCATGAAGGTAGGGATATAATGAGTACAGAGATCTTAAATCATATGACCTTACTTTCCTGCATTTTTAATCTGGTGATCTCCACCCAATGCTTTTCTGGGATTGTCATCCCACATAGAAATAATGTCTTCACTGAACCATTTTTATCACATATCATTTAGTTCTCACCAAAACAGAAGTTTGATTTAAAAGATTTAATTTTGAATAAACTCAATGATGTAGAAGTTAAGGGAAAGTACCAGTTATAAATCTCCAATAGATTTGCAGCTTTAGAGAACTCAGATGACAGCTTGGATATTAACAGAGCTTGGTAAAGTGTTAGAGACAATATCAAGACGTCAGCCATGAAAATATGTGATATTACCAACTAAAGCATAGTGGATTAAATACTCTCAGGCTACGAGCCATGTCAGGTGGCTGAACAGTGAAAAAACCAAACCTTCTGCCAACATAGCCTGAGAGTATTTCATCAACGTCAGTCGCCATGAAAGCTTCACTTCATAAAGCACAGTAAACCATGGTTTGATGCTGAGTGCTCAAAATTAATGTACAAGCAGAAGCAGGCTAAATTAAACTGCTAGCAAAACCCAAGACAAATCGATGGAGATTATCTGCAAAGTTTAAAATGTGAAACCAGTAAAACATTTAGGAAGAAGGAAATGGAATATCTGAAAAACAAAATGAACTTGGAACTAATTGTAGAAACAAAAATATTAGAGATTTATACTAACTCTAAATCCCTGGTAGCAGAACTCGTAGGTCCAACAACACCAAACCTCACAGTCCACCTCCCTGAGATCGATCTTGATATTATCATCCCATCTTCTTCTTTGTCTGCTCAGTGGTTGTTTTCCAGAAGGATTTCCCACCAACATTTTGTATGCACTTTTCCCCCCCCCCCCCTTGCGTGCTACAACTTAGCACATTGTAGCCTTCTAAATTTCACTATCCCCACTATGCTAGGTGACCCGTACAATTCACGCAGCTCCTACTTATGTAATATTCTAAATTCCACACTTATTTTATTCTTCCTAGGACCAAATATTTCCTGGGCACCTTGTTTTCAAACACTTGTAATTTACGTTCTTACTTCAAGGTAGGAAACCATGTTCACAACCATACAAGGCAATAGGCAACATTATTGTTTTATTTATCCTGATCTTTAGTGTTTTGGATAGCAAAGGAATGAAAACAGCTTTGAATTGAATCAAAACAATGTTCCCCATTTCAGCACGGACCTCATTTCTGTTTGTTGTTGTTTCTAAATACTTAAATTCTGAAATATTTTCAAAAGATGCGTTACTTATAATTACATTCGGCAGTTCTTGCTGACGTTGATCCCGTATTACACCCATGTATGTAGTTTTGTCTGCATTAACTTCTAGGCTTATTTCTTTGCTAGCCTGCAGGAGAGTTTCTGCATTCTTGGTTATGGTACCCACACCATCCCCCAGAATATTCACATCATCAGCATACCTGGTGCAGATCATTCAATTCGAGCCCTTCCTGATTCCCTCTGACCTTCCTGATGACATGTTCTAGAGTAAAATTAAAATGCATTGAGGATAAAGCATCCTCCCATCCCCGTTTTAGGTCATTGTACACTGGGAAGGGATCTGACAGAAGGTTATCTGTACGAACCGTACGAGATACCCTGTCCATACATCTTTTAATTTTCCTAACAAGTTTCTTTGGTATTCCAAACCCAAAATGCCACACAGTACCTCTCTTCTCAGTCACATGCCTTCCCAAATTCCATAAATAATTGATGTACCGACCCATTATATTACCACTTTTTCTCTAATATTTGTCTAATGCAAAAGATCTGATCATTAGTTGACCTATTCCAGTGAAATCCATATTGATCATCCCTGATAGTTTCATTCATAAATGGTGTTAACCGTGCCAGAAGAATATTCGATAAAATTTTGAACGACGTTGACAAAAGAGAGAAACCTCAGAAGTTACTGCACTCAGTTTTGTCCCCTGTTTTATTGGTAGGGAAAACAATTGATTCTTTCCGCTGTTGTGGGAGTACTTCCTGGTTCCAAATCGAGACTGTAAGCTTGTGTATCTCCAAGTGCAGTGTCCTACAACCTGCATGGATTAGTTGCTCTTGAATTGAGTTGATGCCTTAGATTTATAACGTTTTAATTTCTCAATGGTAGTTTCAACTTCATTAAGGCTCTGTTCCGAGATGAAGGCTCTGCTGTACGTACTTCAGGCTCTTTCAGTTTATCAGCTAAGTAACTGTTTAGTATTAGAGATTTTTTACATAGGCATAAAAGGATTTAAGAAAGGTTACCAACGTAGAATTAATATTATCGAAGATGAAAATGATCATCTGCTCGCAGATACCAACAGTGTATTCAATAGGTGGAAAAATGTCTTTAACCAGGTGTTAAATGTTCATGGGATTAATGTTATTACACAGTTAGATATACATACGGCTGATCCATTAGTGCTATAACCTAGACTTATCGAAGTTGAAACTGCTATTGAGAAGTTGAAAAAGTATAAAACCCCTGGTACTGTTCAGATTCCGGCCGAATTGATCAAAGCAGGGGGCGAAACGTTGAGTTCCGAGATGCACAAACTCATTTGCTCTAAATGGAATAAGAAGGTAATGCCATAGCAGTGGAAGGAATCTATTATTGTACCAATTTACAAGAAGGGTGATAAGACTGATTGTAATAATTATTGAGCCCTGTCCCTCTTAACAACCTACAGAACTTTATCCAACATTCTTCTGGCGAGGTTGACTCCATATGCCAGTGAAATTATTGGGTATCATCAATGTGGGTTCTGTTGTAATAGATCTACAACTGATCAGATTTTCTATATTTGCCAGATGGGACAGTCCATCAACTATTTATAGACTTAAACAAAGCCTATGGCTCAGTCAAAAGAGAAGGTCTTTAAACTATTTTGCTTGAATTTGGTGTACCTAAGACTTTAGTCAGGCTAATTGAAACGTGTTTAAGTGAAACCTCTAGTGAAATTTTTGTAGGTACATTGCATTTTCTTACAAAAAAGTTATTGTTATGAATGTAATATTAGAATAATAATAATAATAATTACAGGTTAGAAATGCAATTGAATGGGACACATCAGGTGGACATTTGGGCCTAGGACAGAAGACAATCGGGTATTAAGAAAACTGCATAATGACGAACTTTAAAATTTATACTCCACCCCGAATATTGTAAGGGTGATTAAGTAAAGAAGAATGAGATGGGTGGGCATGTAGCGCGCATGGATGGGTCAAGAGGTGTGCACTGAGTATTGGTTGGGAAGCCTGAAGGGAAGAGATTGCAGGGGAGACCTAGACGTAGATGGGAGGATAATATCAAGGGGGAACTATTGGAGATAGGAGTTGAAAGCGACTGGATATTGTTGGCCAGCCCAGGAGAGGGACCCGTGGAGGGCTTTGGTTAATGAGGTGATGAACCTTCGAATTTTATAAGCCATCTAGTTAGTTTGTGGTTCGTGTAGTCCTATAGGTGGTTCACAATCCCTACGATTACAATCCACAGTTTCAGCCGTTGAAATCATCAGATATGCTTTATTATACAAAATGTATTACATTAGAGCAGATTTGCTGATGTTACGATATTGCATATTAAATACCGTCTACGATTTTTGGGAAATCTGAAGAATTTTACGTCCTGTTCCTTGTAAGTAGACGTACACCCACGTGCGGTATGACATTGCACTCCGAGAAATTCAATACTTGTAAGTAGACGTACACCCACGTGCGGAATGACATTGCATATGGTATAATACGGATACCTGAAAAAACACGTACGTAAAGCGCTCAGTTCTTATAATGAAATTAAATTTGTCCGTCTCACAGACAAATCAGGAGAAAAGATAAGATTGGGTTCGCTTCTATATGATCACGCAACCGTACTTTGATGGTTATGAAATCATATATTCCAGCTGCTTTGTGATGGTTCAGAAGATCACGTAGTTTGTCAACCACTGACTTTTTACATGTCTTGTAAAGATGAGAGAATTTCTTATAGTGGTAGTTCTTGTGAATTATCCCAAGATGTCTCCACGTATGTTGTCTTTTGCCTTATACGATGTAAACGTGAGTAATCACGTGTTAGTGTATGTTATGAATGTCATGTTGGAGTTTCGAATATGGGAATTTTAATTTTGAATATAACTTTTAAAAAAGGGAAGATCTGTAGATTTAAACATTTTCATCTTGTTTCAAATTTCAGATTTTGATAAAGTCTCAGTTTTAAAATTGTAAATCATAACAAATTAAAAATTTGACAATTATGAAAGTTCGAGAATGTGTTTGGGTTACTTGAGGCCAGGTTTTGTGGGATCTGGTTAGGTTAGTGTACGTTAAGTTAGGTTCGGTTAAATCAGATGACAGGATTTTTCCTATAGTATTGCTATGCAATTTGTGATATAGATCATAAAATATGAATTTATATAGATTATTGATATATGAGTCTGTTAGAAAGGCATTAAATGTTTGTTATACCAGGGCCACTCGCATAACCTCAGTGGCTGAAAATGTAATAAAGTAACTGACTTTTCTTATTCAGCAACTTAATGCGTTAATCTTTAGCACCATGCAGTTTATGCATGATCCAGCTAGCCACGCATCACACTAGTATATAGACAGACTGTTAACCTCAGAGGTAATTTCAAACCAGCAGCCATGTAATACAAGGTTTAAATCCATTATTTCCCATATTATGCAGGTAGGTTAACCAGTTAATGAGGCATATTAAAATATGTGTTTTAATGTGGTTTTCTTTTTCTGTTATCTTTCCCAGCACCTGAGACCTGTGAACCTGGGACAGTATTCAAGAAAGATTGCAACACTTGCACATGCTCTGCAGATGGAGGAAGTGCTGTTTGCACTCTGAAAGCATGTCTGCCTCAGAAAATAAGAAAACGAGGTATGTTACATTAATATTAAGATGTGTAGTCACTCTCTGTTAAGGCTTGCTACTGATTTCATATGGAACCATTAGTTTTAATGTATATTATTAGAGAAGATTGTTATGGCACCTTTCCATTTAGCACTTTACTGATTGAAAGATGGGATTATATGGAGATATGTAGTCATTACAATAGAAATAATGTAATGTAAAAGCAAAAGTAAAGCTGTCCCAATATATGTCATGTAGGCACTTGCAGGAAGAGGGGGTGTAGCTCCTAATCATTCTTGACTTTGGCACTAGACGGGGTGAGTGGTCAGCATACGCCTCAGCTTCTGGGTGGGCCCCAGAACTGGTCTGTAAGCAGAGGCTACAGGAAAAATCCCCTGCCCCCATCAGGGATCAAACCCTGGTTGTCCAGTCCATAGCCAGTTACTGTACTGACTGAGATATAAATGCTAATAGGCCTACTATAGGACAGAATTCTTTAACATCAGTTTAAAACACCAAAATAAAATAAGGAACTGGACTGCTCTAACTAACTAGATGGTCTAGGGAACTTGAAGGTTCATCACCGAATTAACCAAAGCCCTCCACCAGTCCCTTTCCTGGGCCAGCAAAAATACCATCACCTTCAACTCCCATAGATACTGGACTTTTCTAGACAGATTAAAATGTAGAACACATGGTCGTGGCATTTGTTTCTATAATCTCCTGTTCAAAAACAAACAGCTTCGGTTTTGGCGCCATTCTTCTATCATGCTTAGTTTCTGAGCTACAGGAACTGCCCTTGCTGGGAATTGAAATAAGGACAGCTTTTGCAGAGTATTGGACATCCTGTTCCCTTCATGGTCCCAAGGAATATGCATTCCAAGTTTGGTGCAAATTGGTTTTTACATTCTTGAGCTAATAGATTCCGCCTGACATCCTCCCATCTACGTCTAGGTCTCCCCAGCGGTCTCTTCCCCTCAGGCTTCCCAACCATTACCTGGTGCACACCTCTTGACCCATCCATGCGTGCCATATGCCCTGCCTATCTCATTCTTCTTGACTTAATCACCCTGACAATATTGGGGGAGCAGTACAGATTTTTAAGCTCATCTTTATGCAGTTTTCTCCACGCCCCATCGTCTTCCCTCTTAGGCCCAAATATCCTCCTCAACACCCGATTCTCAAACACCTGCAATCTACGTTCCTCCCTCTGAGTGAGAGACCATGTTTCGCACCCATACAAAACAACAGGCAAGATTATTGTTTTGTATACTTTAATTTTCAGGTTCTTAGAATTCAGACGGGAAGACAAAATATTTTGAACTGAGAAGTAGCAAGCATTTCTGGAATTTAATCTCCTCCTAACTTCCTCATGAGTGTCATTTTCATTTGTTATTGTTGTTCCCAAATATTTGAACTTTGCGACATTTTTAAAGGATTTATTAGCCACCCTAAGATAATTTTGCCCGCCTGTCTTCTGATGACGAGATACTAACATGTACTTAGTTTTTTCTGAATTTACTTCCAGCCCCACTTGTCTACTAGCCTCTAGTAAAACTTCTGCGTTCCTCTTTATTGTATTTATATCGTCCCCCAATAAATTAACATCATCAGCATATGCCAATAGTTGAAGTTTCCCATTCAATTGCAAACCCTCCTGCCTAGCTTGGACTTTCCTGATAGCATATTCTAACGCAAAGTTAAAGAGCAATGGAGACAAAGCATCTCCATGTTTTAGACCGTTCTTGATGAGGAATGTCTCAGATACATATTTACCTACTCGAATTTTGCTACAGGTTTCATTTAAGCACATTTTTATTAGACTCACTAGCTTCTTTGGTATACCAAATTCAATAAGAATATTATATAACACTTCTCTCTTCACAGAGTCATAGGCTTTTTTGAAATCTATAAATAATTGATGCGTAGTCCCACTGAACTCCCATTTTTTCTGTAGTATCTGACGAATACAAAAGATCTGATCAATCGTTGATCTGTTTCGTCTGAACCCACACTGATGATCCCCAATAATTTCATTCACATATGGGGTTAATCTTGCCAAAAGAATTTTTGATAGATTTCTGTATGACGTTGATAGCAGCGAAATTCCTCAGTAATTACCACACTCAGCCTTGTCCCCCTTCTTATGAATAGGAATAATTATGGATTCCTTCCATTGTTGTGGCATCTCTTCCTTATCCCAAATTAACTGAATAAGCTTATGGATCTTCATATGCAACTTTTTTCCACCCGATTTAATTAATTCTGCTGGAATTTGAACAATACCTGGAGATTTGTAACTTTTCAACTTCCCAATAGCTAATTCAATTTCATCTAATCTAGGTTCTGGCACTGACAGTTCAGTATGTATCTTAATCTTTCATGCAGCACACTATAAAAACACATAATGCAGGTCAGTTTCTGTATTCAATTTCCAATAGTGCTGTGCCCCCCTCCCCCACAAACTCACCCACCCATCTCATCTCATCCCCTCACCAACACTAACGTAATGATACGAGCACATGAGTTAAATATTATTTATTTTAGCATATTTTAGTATTCCTTCTGATTTATATTCAGACGTCACTGTGAAGACCTTGAACACATGACAATGTCATGGCTATATTATCTTTGTAGGGTCAATATTGATACACAAATTGCAGCTGAAAAGCAGAATGCACAAAGTATTGACTTAAATAAGTATTGTAATTGTTATAAAATGGCTTTTAATGAAGACCTACCTTAACAGTATGCTAACACAATGCTAATACAGATGGAATGTGTCCAGAAGCATGTGTACATATGATAAATATTAATATTTTGTGCAGAACTACTTTTACAGAACGTTTGTCAAGAAAACTATCACTAAATACTAGAGTCACCAATAAAATATTGCATTAATTACGTTCTCAGCATAGTCCACACCAACTGAAATTATATTTTCCTACCTATGTCCGCCACGGTGGCCTAGCGGTTAGAACGCTGGCCTTGTAATCCTGGGGTCTCGGGTTCGAATTTATAACTTGTGTGGGACAAGGCCGTGGTCTAGGCAACACAGAGTTTTCCTCCGTGGCATCCCAACAATTACTCCATTCACACTCACACAGAAGAAGGCAATGGCAAACCACTTCTGGATCATCTGCCAAGAACGTATATGAACAGGTCCCAGTCCGAGAAAAGGATGGAAGGATCCTGTTCATATGGACCTGTCGTCAGACAGAACACTAAAAAAAACCCTATGTACTTCACATACCAAGACCATCTTCTCTTCAGTTAGATGATACATGTTGATGATGCAAATAGTATTGAATGGAACTTCATTGTATCTAGTACATATTCTTAGGTCAAAAATAAACAGAGCTGTTGTAGTATAGCTCTGTTAATCCACAATATTTACAATTGTGCAATTATTACTAAGTTACACAATATATAAAATTATGCAGGAGAAAATTTTGGTCAGGGACTTCTTGTAAAATGCCATCTGAAAATGAAAGGACGGTATTAAAATGAATCAAGATGAAATGAGTAGAGATGTCAACTGGACTAATATGGCTCAGAATTAGACCATATTCAGTGATGGGCTTTAGTTCTAGAGATATTCAGTCATTGGGTTTTATTACAAGATACTTAGCTATATCAGTTCAGTGGTTTATGGAGAAGTGTAATGTATTTAACTATCTCAGTATTTTATCAAGTGGTAGTATTTCATATTATAAACTGGGTATCTCAGTTGGTATAGTGACTGACTGTGGTCTGGATAACTGCACAGAGGAGTTTTCCTCTAGTTTCTGTGTCCAGACCGGCTCTGGGGTGACGCAGGCTCGTATACGACGGGCACCAGGATTCTTTCCCAAGGGATAAAGCGCAGCTGGGGCGAGATGCTTACCGCTCAACCCCATCTAGTGCCGAGGTTAAGAATGAGTAGGAGCTATATGCCTCTCCCCCCAAGCGACATACATGGCATATAGTAGGACAGCTTTAATTTTGAAGATTTCTGTCTTCTGGGTTGTTGCGCTGTGTAGTCTGGTAGATGTTAACCAACGTTTCAGAGGTCATACTGCCTCCGTCATCAGGGCAATGAGTATGAAGATTTCTGTCTTCTGGGTTGTTGCGCTTTGTAGTCTGGTCGATATTAACCAACGTTTCGGAGGTCATACTGCCTCCATCATCAGGGCGATGAGTATGAAGATTTCTGTCTTCTGGGTTGTTGCGCTGTGTAGTCTGGTCGATATTAACCAACGTTTCAGAGGTCATACTGCCTCCATCATCAGGGCGATGAATCTTCATACTCACCGCTGTGAGAACCTCAAGTCTTACACAGCTTTAATTTTGCTTTTAGTCTTTAATATTAGCGGTGTTGAACCAGAGTTTTATTACCAGATAGTCAATTAAATTTAATGTGTGGATTGTGGAAATGTATATTTTATTGAATTGGTTCAGGGTTTGATATTAGTAGAGTTGAATCTGTGGGTGTTGTTATTAGAATGTAAGTTAATTTAATTGAATTAACTTTTTATCACAGATGTTGAGAAATGTGTACCTGGCACAACTTACAAGAAGGAATGCAACACCTGTCGATGTTCTGCTGATGGACAAAAAGAAGCCTGCACTCTCAAGTTCTGTGTACCAAATGCAGGTACACTTTCTTAATTCTGGACCACAGAAATAACCACATTGTAATTAACAACAGTGCATACTAAAAGTGCATTTCCTTAGTCTACACCAGTCACTTTGTGTCACCCATGTACAGCAACTGGTCAGTAATGTAGACCAGAGTGTAAAGTTTATGCCCAGTTACAGGCCCATTCTGCATAATGTTAAAGTCATTCAGTACAGTAAGCCTAATTTTAATCAGCTCTAAATTTTTCTCAACTGTTTTCACAAATTTCCCAGATTTAGTCAATTATGGAAATCTGTTCTACATATTCTCAAGCCACACGTTTTTTTTTTGCCTGCATGGGGAACAAGACCATGGCAGAATTGGGAGATGAGGGGACTTCTGTACACACATATTCATGCTCTAGGCATGATTCAAACCCTGTGCTTTGACGTAAGATCTTCTGTACCATAAACCATGTGCCAATTCAGACTAGACATTTTTGAAATACCTAGTCTTATTAAATGTAAAACATGTTTATATGAGTATTTGTTTTGGTGTTTGAGAATCAAACTGAAAGTTCCTTATCTTATTTTCTTTATGTTGTATCGTAAGCATTATTGGTATATTCTGTCTTATCACATCTTTCAGCCAAGATCTTGCTGCCTTCCTTCAGTGGTCATAGGACCATTCTTTCCTCCAAACAATAACTTGAAAAAAGCTGAACAGATTTCCATGAAATTTAGTATCAATTTTATGCTATTTGAAGCTAGTCTATACTCATACTTTTTAGTTTCCTACAATCTGTGATCCTATCATGACATGCTCAAATTTTTGAGAATGTGATGATGCCATTACCAATGATCCTCTGCAGTGATGTCATCTCCCTGATGTAATTCTGCATGCACATAACACAGATTTTCATGAAATTTCATACAGACATTATACCATTGAAGGGCTTAACCAGAATAATACTTTTAATTTTCTACAATCAGCAGTACCAGAATGATGGATTCTCAGATTGTGAGATGGGATGATGATGGTCTTTTATGTGATCATTAACCATCATGTAGTCACATATCAATTCACATGTGAAGTAATGGTGCTGCCATCTGTCAGCAGTATCATAAACTGTTTATGATACCATCTATCAGTGGTCATCTGAACTATCCATGCTACTGAATTCTATCAGTAGCTTTTCAAACTATTTTATGTCACACCCATCAGAAGTGGTGTAGAAAGTTAGTGTATTCTACAGTGTACACGTTTCAGTCTTCTTTCTAATGCCACCAGTTGACCTTTATCATCCAGAAATAAGAGATTTAAACCCGCATACTATGGGGTTGCCTCTCAGACTTTAATTCTGAGGTTAATGGTTTAGTGCAATGGCAGCAAAATAATGCGTAATGCTGTGACACATGGATGACTTTTCTGACCTTTGCTCCCACCTGACAAGAATGAAGGAACCCATTTGTGAGGTCTATAGTAGAAGTGATCATTTTGCAGTGTTCTGTTACTTTTAATGATAGATTGAAGATTCAGATGATGACTGGTAGAGGGATCTGCAGCTTAATGTGGACTTTTAAATATGGTCTGATTCTCATATTCCAGTCACAAAGTATTGACTTTGACAGAGAGCATGGATGTACAGGAAGGCATGTCATGATACAAGTAAAAAGAGTGGGCTAATACATTTTGACCTAATGGCCTAGAGGTAAAGTGATTAAAGATTCAGGTTTGAGACCAGAGAGTTGCAATGTGAATTTTCCAGCAAAGAAAAAAATTGTCAATATGGGAAAAGCAAACCCTCTGCTGTATTGTGATTCAGAGTTGATGTTTTGCTGTAGGTTACTCCTACTATTACTGTGATCATATTCCTATTATAGGAAAGTGGAGACTGTCCTAATGTCTCACAAATTAATTTATTCACTTTTATGGGTAGTCGGAGGTTAGGACGTCGATAATGCCACAAGTGAATGAACTGACTACAAACCAAACAAAGACAAGAACAGAGACCTGACTGTCCAGGGTCCGCATGCTATGAGTGCCTCTACATTTCACTACAGTTTACAGAATGTTTGTATAATGCTTGTAGCGTATAGTAATGAACAGCTCACTCTTCAGTCACAAGTAGATACTCACGCCACATCTCCCAAGCGTTATAAATACAATATTCTCGGAGTTATAAATTAAATTCACAAAGTAGATTACTTGTTAGCATGAATGTGTTATAGGTTAAATGCTAATAGCATTTGTGATGTGTAGAAACCTTCCAACTTCCTGAAGAGAAGATCCCAATGCAGTTATGCACCAGATGTCTGTGTTAACTCAAATGCATGAAGACCTTCTGTCTTCTGTGTATGTGGCTGGATTGGATTCAAGCCTGCTGTAATCTTGCTTTTTGCTTCTTAATGTTACTTGTATCATGCATGGACCATCGTTTATAAAATCAGGCTGCAAGTGCATGAAATATGTACATAATGAATGACATTTGAAATCAAAATTTCTTTCATCTTGTAGTTAAAACAAAAGAAAATTTAACCTTTATCATATGCATTACAGAGCTACCAGCTGGATTTTAGCTCTGGCTTTGCGATTCAGTGGTATGGTGCAATGCAGGGCCAGATAGGCCTCGCATAAGTTTCGTTGTACGGATGATATACATTAAAATAGTAGAGAATTCTTGCTACTATGGAATGTAGTGTTTTTTTTATAATATTTTCCTAATATCAGATGTCAAAATAAATAGAAAGCCTTAACAGTGTTTAGCATAACTGACTAAGTCAAAAATGTTGGAAGACTTACACATATTCTAATTTGAAACATATCGGCGGCCCTCGTCAAGGCATATGTCAAGATCAATTTCTTTTCATGTATCAGAAATTTTTGTACAAATATTGTGCATAACCGCACATATATTATGAAGATAAATTTGTGTGGCTGTGACCTTTGCTTAATTCTCTAATCTGTCCTGTACACATACATTTTATTTAACTGTTATCTTCTAAATTCAGAAAGTGTGTATAAAATAGTTCAAAGCAAAATTTATTTCAAATTAAGTCAAATATTTAAATATGTAGACCAGATAATCCAAAATTTTGTAACAAATTATACAACATTATAGTCAATATTTATTGTACAATTTTACCAACAAATTAAATAAAATATATAGGAATATGTCATTTTAGTGTGAAACTGTGTAGCCTGTGTATTGTATTATATGAAGAAGTTTACTTGTTTTGCAGCAACAATTAAATTTCTTAGTATATATATTCTGGCTTATTGATTAAAATAACAAAAATAATAGTGCATCTTCACTGGGCGATGTGCCACATTGGCGTCCTCTTGTTTGTAACAGATTTTGCCTTATTTTAGCCCCCTTTCATCCCTCCCATTTATCAAAAGTGCCATGAAAGCTTAAAAATATTAACAATAACAAAGATTAACAATATTATAACAAAAGAATTTAATAGATTTTTTAAGTGCACCTTCAGTATGGTACTTGCTGTGAAAACAGTTCATGTCACATACAATATATAATAATTGTACTGATAGGTATGTTAAAGGTTTCTATATTTTGTGAATATTTTAGATACCAGCAAATTGCTTTAAAATATACTTACAAGGTGACAGATAAAGTTTGAAAATACTGGTAAAGGTTGATGGGTATATACATACATACACACTACATGTAAGTGGAATTAAATTCTAGTAAATATTGTACAAGTTTATAAATAATAAGAGCCTAACCTGTAACATGAACTAAGAAAGAATAACTTTATTATTATAAAAATGACTCACAACAGTTTTAAGTGCAATAAATAAAGTATAAGCAATTATTTGTTAATCATATTTGCTCAGCATAATTAAACACTGAAGTATATGAAATAAAATTTAAGAGTTATTAATTGTAATTATGGGATTGCTTCATCACTAGAGAAGTTTCTATGTGAATGAAACTCTGAAGTAACCAAAGACCATTTAACAGAGTCCCTCCTGAGAACCTAGGCTAATAGTTACTCAGCTAATAGGAAATTCTCAGTCTTTTATGGAAGCTGAAGGTTCATTACTATGTTCAGATGAGTCTACAATTTGTCCCTACCTGAGCCAGATGGATCGAGTCCAAACCCCCAATAATTACTCCATTCACACACAGAAGAAGGCTATGGCAAACCACTTTTGGATCATCTGCCAAGAACGTATATGAACAGGTCCCAGTCCGAGAAAAGGATGGAAGGATCCTGTTCATATGGACCTGTCGTCAGACAGAACACTAAATAAATAAAAAATACAAACACAACATAGGACATTGTTCGGACATCACGTGATGGCAGTGGCATTATTCAGTTGTATTTTGCACTAGAACAGTTACAGTTTACAATTACAATTATTTTACATATGCTAGCAAACTTGCTCTTTCTTGGCATATTGCCTGGACCATCCCTTATCTTCTTCCAATCCATTTGCCTTGTGTGATTTTTGCTGTGAGTACACTCTCCTGTGTACTTCCTCAAAGGCCACTTCTTTCTTTCTCTCTCTCTCAGCCTAGCCTTCCTCTCTGATTTCCAACATGGTGACTTCCCAGTGTATCCCAGACCATCTTCTCCTCTCCCCCTAGTTTAAGACTTCAGCCATGAAGATGGAAAAACTTTGGTTCTCTGAAACATTGGTATCTACCTAAAAAAATTGTATCCTTCTGTTTATTAATTCTTCCATATTTTCATTAAATGCTTGCACACAGAAGTGGCCCAATTGCTACGCAAAGTTTCTGAAGAACCATAACAGTGTAGCTCAGGAGCCAAGTGCTGGTCGAAATGGTATTTGGACGATGCCATAAACTTTCTGATGGACTATATTACACTGATGGTGACACTGAATTCAGTGAATGAAGTAGAAGACACAAATTAAGATATGATGGATAATAGAAGGACTGAGTAAGATAATAAACAGCTGAAGATGTACAACTGGTATAAGGGAAAAAGGAGAGATTTTGGGCAAAGAGGAGACAGGAAAACAATGGAGATATTTCCATTGGGCTT